TGTATAATTAATCTTTTTGTTCCTATTACATGTAGTTAAAATGTTTAAATATGTTTAAATTTGAAATGAATATTTAAAACATTTTTTTTCTTTTCAAAAAACACTTTAAATTTTCAATTTATGAACGAGAAGAACAAACGTCTCTCGAGGGTTAACATTATCATATCAAATACACTGTATATACAACTGAGACACTTTGCTATATGTCTTATGCATACATGGATGGTATGGCGAAAAAAATTAAGAATCTCACATCTTATCTATTCTCTCTTATTATTTTAATTATTTATTTCTATAAAGAAATAATTTTTTTTCAAACAAAACATGAGGTTAATTTAGGAACGTGAACATTTCACAAAAAAGATTTCAAATTGTTTAAGATGACTTACTAAATTCTCTGGAGAGGATTTTTGTTTTATATTTCACCGATATCGATATACATTTTACTAATATTCATTGCATATTTCATTATTTATTTATTTCTTCATTAATAAACATCAAAATAAAAGAATTAGAATTTTCAAAATGAAGAATCAATTTTCGTTTCTATGTATGATATCAATATAAATATGTGTGTGGAAAAACCAGTGAAACGATTACCCAATAAAAAAAATCTTATCAAGGACTTGTGTGAAATTTACCTACTCTTAAATCAAGGACAGGATATGATGACTTTATCATTAACAACAACGTGTATACTTATACTTCCTGCTTTGAAACACTTAACAAAAACTAGAGGACAGGCTCCATGAACTCATGCGTGCTATCAAAAAGTTAGACTTTACCAGAAATCAATGAATTATCTTAATTTTTTTTTCTAATTTGAAATATATTTTTTCCTGGATTTTCCGTTGCATTGCAACCTACCTACCCTATTTTGGGGGATTACACTTATCCATCATGTATACCTTAAGAAAAATTTAAAAAAAAAAATCCTGAAAAACGCAGGATGAATATTCTAGAGAAAATATCTCGTTAACATTATAAAGAGTGAAATGTATGCCACTCCGTTGTATCCAAGCTGCATGGGTAAATTAAAAAATATATATAATTTTACAGGGATCAATAGCTCAAGGTATTTTAAAAATCTTGGGCTATAATACAAGTGAAAACTGGACAGTCTTGGTTCCAGTGGAAAACTAGATACTGTAGGCAACATTAATTATTTCTTGCAAGGAATACAAACAGGTGATATCACCCATTCAATTGAAATATAATTGATATGACTTATTCACCTATTCGAATAAATGATATTATTATCCTTCAGAATTATACAGTCAATCTGATTGGTTTAGAGCAGGTCACGTGCAGGGAGACAACTCGTGATGTCTCCCTCACGCGCAGGGTGACAACTGTTATCTCCCTTCAGATGACAATGAAATTTATAGCGTAAGCGATCATGCAGGGTTACAACTATGTTGTCGCCCTTTGAATAAAACTATAGTGGTTTAAGCGAGATAACTCCTATTTATAAGTAGATGGCTAAATATTCACGGTAAACTTTAAATTCTAAAGATGACGTCAAAGCTGTCTGTTGACATATTTTAAAAGTATGGAATCAAACTATAGAAGCAAATAAGAGGTTTGATTACTATTTTCTATTATCTAATTGATAATTGTATATGGATAAAAATTTTTATAAAAATTATCTTTGTGACCCTCGGGCGCAAGCGCCCTCGGGTGACAAAAAGTAAACTGATAACTTTATTTTCAGTCCATAATTGTATAATACCTATTTGAAAAGCTGTTACAATTTTTTGAATTCCCACCATTCGGCGATTTTTGAAATGTGTTTGGAGGTACGTTGTATTTAGAGAGATGCATTCACCTGCATTTAAACAAGATTAATAATTATAGAAAACTTTCACTCAAATACAGCTGGTGTAAAATCAAACATAACAAACATATCATTTCTACTCCTTCTAAAGATATATGGATAAATTTTTATAAAAATAATCTTTCTGATTCAAGTCAAAAAGTAAACATTTTTTTTTTCAGAAGAAAACAGCGCAGTACATATAATTTTGTATAATTTGTGAGTTGATTTTTGCGTATGAAAAAAGTAAAATGTCCTAATTTGATATGCAGACCCCTCTGAGACGTGATAATGAAAGTCATCTTAGTCTCCTCTAAAATAATTGACAGGATAGGATGATGATGATGTCACAAAAAATAAGTTGTGTATAATAAAGATAAGTTGATACCGAGAAAAACTTAACAGAAAGTTGAAAGCAGCTTCCTTGTAACTCAAGAGTACTCCAAACGATTAAAAGATTTAGGGATAAAACAAAAAAGAATTTCCAAACTGAATCAGTTTGTTTTTTTCTGCTTTCGCGTACAGACCTGAAAGTTAGAAGATACGACTCCATTTTGGTAAGTGTGTTACATTAGTACATGTATCTTATATATACTATAAAGTTTTTGCCACAATGATATAATAAATACGGGAAATTATGTACTATCAGTATATTATATTGTAGAGAACTTAAAGCAAATATAACTTTGGTACATTTTGACCCTAACTTTTAAAATTACAAAAGTTTTTTTTTGGAAAAAAAATTGTTAGGAACATAAGTTCTAAAAGAAAACAAGGGTCTATATCTTTTTGGTCGATAGTCCGAAGATTCACCCATCTAAAGCTACGCTATTTCGAATCGATTGTATATACCGAGTGTATCTTTTAAAAAAAAAGATCAATTATTTTTCATGCTTTAAAATTATCATGTTAATTGATATCCTCCATACAAGAACACTTCATATGATCTTTTTTTACCCACTCCTTTATCAGAAGAACATCAACTCTTGTTAAAATTTATATTATTACTCGTTCCAACAAATTACTTATTCCTTCGATAAAATTTCTGATTTGTTTGAAAATAAATTCATATTTCATTCGTTATTATAAATATCTTATTCGCCCCCAAAATATCTAAAGAACAATTGCAACGTATACCTTATCTACTAAACATTTCTAGAAATTCTTAATGTTAGATTGTAGTGCCATCAAATATTCGTAGACAAAAAATCAGCGTGGCATACCGTGGGTTTTGAAAAGATATCAATTTGACGAAAATTCTTATACGTATAATTGAAACAAAAATATGCAAAATATACTAAACATATGTATTCTAGATATTTTGTTTATACAAACTTGTGTAGCACGATGATTGTGTTCGATGTTATTCCATTATGAAGAATTAAATAAGTTCACAATGTTCCTACAATAATAATATAAAACATTACCTAAGCAAGGGGCATACAGTGTATGTGGTGTTTACAGCATATATGGCGTTTACAGCATCTGGTTCATTGATGGGCTGGTTCATTGATGCATCAATTAAAAAATAAAAATACACAACTATAGATATTTATATGATTAAGAAAATTTGCAATTATTTTAACCTCATGAAAATATTACAATCTCTCATGTAAAGAATGAACACTGAATTCAATAGAGAGACTATTTTCAAATTAAAAATATCTTTAAATTAAAAATAGAATACTTCTTCGTGTATGCGTATAATATTTGCATACTTATTTGTTGCATACACATTGCTAGTTGCAAAAAAATAAAGTCCAAACAACGTTACGTATGTCCCTACCAAAAAGAAAAATTCTAATTCACAAAACACGTATCATTCGTTAAAAAAATACCCAATTTGCGCGAGTAAAGGACTAATTGATGCAAAAATATTTGTCTGAAGCTTGTTTATAATTTATCTTATAATATAGCACCGTACTAAAAATGTCATAAAAAGCAAGGATATAAAATAGGCTTTTATTTTCAAACATTTCAGGTAAAACAAAAAATCTTTTTATTCCAATAGAAGTCGCTATACATGTATTTTGTTTATATATTATTTCTCATTGTTTTTGCAAAATGTAAAGAAAAGGAAGGCATCATATTTGTCTCTTAAAAAGTGAAGCGACAGAGTAGAAATCAAATCAAGTTTAACAATCTACTTCTTGAACACGTAATAAAATTACTCTTTCTTATAAAATTATGATATAAATTTTTCAAAGTCTGAAAAATGTTTTTCAGAAGATTGTTTAGAGCTTCCTAAAAAGATTTTAATTTTTTCTCCCTTTTCCATATTATCTTAAAAGAAAAAAGCACTATGCATACAAAAAGTACAATATTTTTTTAAAAATATAACCAGGAAGGAAAACTTTATTACACCCACCCTTCTAAAAGTGCCCCCCTCGACCACCCCCCCCTTCCAGATTCGTGACGGTGCATGCTCTTATTTCCTTCAGTCCTTAAGCAGGGGACACGAATTGTCATTGGAAATTTGTTGGCATCGATCACGCTCATGATCAAAGACTAAGAGTTAAATATAACATATATATTACTTTTAGATAATTAGGTAGGTATTTCATATTATTTTTGATTATCATCGGTTCTCCCGATAAGACTTGATAAAATAAAGCTAATAATCACTTAATCACTCAAAACGAACGTGTCAAGTATATGCTAAAGAGAGAGAAACCTCTTCGTAGAATCAAGGGGCTCTTCAATCTTAATGAGTTTTCTTTTCAATTGTAAAGAAATGTCCCTATTCAGATAAGTCAGTCAGTGTGAAAGTTAACATAAAAATGTTGCAATAGTATATGTCGTGGGTTTTTTGCCATTATTTCAGGAAATTTGTTTGTCGATAATTGAAGGACCAATTGTTTTTGCCACGTCCTTAATTTACCATTTAAGGGAGCCGACTGAGGTATCCATCGCGAAATACTTCGGGCATCATAGTCAAATGAAAAGTATTTACACTTTTGATTCATTTATTTTTGAAAAATAAATGAAATTAAACAAATTTTAGAAATTGTAGGTTACAATATCTAATTACAATTTTATATAACTGATTTTTAAATCGATTTTTCAACTGATAGGTAGATTCGAATTCATTGTCTTAGTGTTAAGCTACTAAGCACAAATGTTACTTTTCTGTCCGTTTTACTGAAAAATAACCTCTTAATCTTTCGATTGTGTTCTCAGAATCATGGATATACGAAATCTACTGGTGTTTTTAGTCTTCATTGTGGCAGTTGAAAATCAAGGCATTCTCTCTGCAAGAGAACTGAGTGAGATGGTAAGAGCTCACGATACAGAAATCACGTTGCTGAAACGAAAGGTTGTAAAGCAACAGCATTTAATCGAGAGTTTGCAAAAACAAGTCGAAGCAGGGAGTGCAAAACAGAGTAAGTAATTGAGTCTTGAAGTAATTCTTAAATATTTAACTGTAATAGATATTTACTACCACTTCTTTCGTTTGTGTGAAATACTTTTTACAACATTTTTGAATTTTTTGGTAAAGAAAACTAATTTACTATTGGCTGTTTAATTGATGCATGTTAATTTCTTTATTAAAAAGTGTCTTTAAATTATTTAGAATTAATGAAACATAAACTCAAATACATATGAAGCTTCGTACTGAAGATTCCTAAATATACGCGTGGAATTAACTGTGGTGTAATTTAGCAAAAAGATGATTTTGGCTGATTTGAAGTGTTAAGCCGGTTATCCTCTCTACCGTAAATCATACGGAAGCGTGTTACATGTAGGGCGCATGTGTTTCTTTTGTTAGTTTTAAAAATTATCAATGTGTTTTATTAAAAAAAATATAAATTTGCTTAGACAAGTTACTGTAAACGTGCTACATTTAGCGGTGTTTTATTATTAGCGATTTTTGCGGTAGGCAGAGTCCACTAAATCAAGTACATCGCTAAATGCCTTGTATATCATACAGGTATATCTAGCACATTCATATTGCGCTAAATCATACCTACGCTAACTTGTTGAAAATTCAATTTTCGCCAAATATCATACACGCCAAATATATCACATTTACAGTATTAAATTGTTATAACAAATGAATTTTTATAACAAATTATCAATTTGTTATAACAAATTTGAATATTTTAAAACAAATTAGAACATGTAATTTGTTAGAATAAATTTTAAAAAATGTAAACAAAGCAGTGGTAATTCGCAAAATTTTGAAACGTAAAAGTTAATCAACATCGTTTTGACCCGAATTCGCTGAATAAAATCGACGTAAAATTTCCAGATTTACGGTATACTCGGCACTCAGGGCCATTGAGCAGTGAGGGTTCTTTATCGTGCCAGCGCCTAACGTGACACGGGACCTACGTTTTTAAGGTCATATCCGAAAGACCCGTGACTTTCATTTCTAGTGCCGAGCGCTTGGCGAAGGAACAGTCACTACCTTTGTTTACGTCTTAGGTATGACGCGGCGCCGCGAACGAGAATCGAACCCGGGCCTCCCTATCACGAAGCGAACGCTCTACCACTAGGCTACCGTGACCGGTCATCATTCATTTGAAGATACAATGCATCAAATTCTTTTGAAGATACAATGCATCAAATTCTTCGGTTGCTTTTCCTTAGGAGCTATACTTGAAATTTGTCCATCTGTGCCCCCCCCCCCAAGAATATCTTATTTAAGGCATGTTATTTTGAGAGATATTTTCCCACCTCTAAAATTTGAGTTAGATACCTTGAGTTATTAATAATAATTACACCAAACTAGAGGTACTGTGAGCAACAAGCTCACTAAATGATGCCGCCATCCTCCTGTATGATTATAATAACAAAGTCCCTGTTTTACTCTTGGAGACCCGAAAAAAGTGCCAGATCAAAAAGTAAAATAGAAAGTGTATAATGACATTATGTAATAAAGAATCTGTGAACGTATCATTAAATTTTATTAGCTTACCTGAGTCACCCACGTGACCTATTTTTATCCGTTTTCGTCCGTCGTCGTTCGTCATGTGTCGTCTATCGTGCGTCAACATTTGAACATTTTCAGCTTCTCTAAAACCACTGAACCAATTTCAGCCAAATTTGGTATACAGCATCTATGGGTAAAGAGTGACAAAACTGTGAATGTTATGATCCTCATCCCCCCGGGGTGTGAGGAGTTGGGTCAAAACCACTAAAATTAATGCAATCTTTAAAAATCATCTTTTTTTTACTCCTGGGCATCAAGCAGTCAAACTGTTGGCATGAATGTAATGAGCATTTAGTCCTCTACCAAAGTTGTGAAATTCATTGCCCCAAGGTCAGGGGTTCTAGTGCTAGGACGGGACTATATAGATAATGTAGTAAAAATGCATTATTTCTTTGAGAATCTTCTTCTCTGCTCCTCGGTATAACATAAACTAACTCAGTATACAGTTATGATCCAAAATTGTCAATTTGATGGCCCCATGGTCAGGGTCTTTGGTGTTAGGGTGGTACTCTACTGATTACTGGAGAATATAGTGAAATACATTAATTCTTTGAAAATCTTCTCTGCTCCTGGGTATTAAATAAACTAAGAACATAGTTATGATAAGCAAGATTGCAAAATAGTGAATTTCATGAAAGGGTGAAACCGTATTAATTCTTTGAAATTCTTCTCTGCTCCTAGCTATTTAATTAACTAACTAAGTTCATAGTTATGATGAGCAAGAGTGTCTCTTCCAAAATTGTGAATTTTATAGCTTTTTCAGGGCGGAGCTCTATTGATTATATAGTGAAAATACATTAAATCTTTGAGAATTTTTTTCTCTGCTCCAGGATATTTAGCAGATAAACTACCTATATAATTATAATGAGCAAGGATCCTTCTTCAAGAATTGTGAATTTCAAGGCCCTGGGTCAAGGGTTCCATAAGGAGGGGGGATCTCTTATCTACTGAAAGTGAATTAATTGTTGAAATTTGTTCCTTGGTATTAATAAAACATTTTGGATAAGCAAGAATGTCTTTTCAAAAATTGTGCTATATTTGGACTTAGCGTTAGGGGTTCATGTGTGTTAGGGGCACTACTGCTTATTACTGAATATTACTGATTAGTCGATTGCATTTTTCCCCTACTCTGCCTATGGGTATTAAGTAACCAAACTACCGGAAAGCAATTGCTAAGTGTATAGTTATGTTGAGCAATGGTGCCTCTTTCAAAATTGTGAATGCCATAGCATCTAGCTTAAAACATGAACCAAATTCAATCATTGGAAAGTTGTTGCAAGATGCTCAGGTGACCTATAAGGCCCAGGGACCTCTTGTGTACTGGTCTAGGAGGTAGGAGTTGCGGATAAGAGATGAGTGCCCACAATATTATAGAAAAAATGGCAGTGTCAATGTTTTGCTCTGGAAAACCAAAAATATGTTTCTGATCAAAAAGTAAAATAGAAGGTGCACAATGGCACTATATTACAAGGATTCTGTGAAGTTTCATTAAACATTCAGAGGTATGAGAGGAGTTGTGGATAAGATATAGGTACCCTAAAGCGTAACAGAGGGACGGACTGACGGGCATATCGATTACTATATACCCTCCCGCTTTCCAAATGTTTGGGGGAGGGTATAATAACATTAAGTCAAAACGACGACTTTGGGGAATGAGATTTATGAGTTAATGGTATAACATGGTTTACCAATAATTTGAATTATTTATAGTTCACCTGAGAAAAAGAAGCTTAAATGAAGTTTCTGTAGATTCTAAATTATTGATATCATTACCCTGAGAAAGCTGGGGGCAAAAACAGGGTATCAGGGTACTCGTTCAGAGTGTGGCAATAATAAAAAATCAATTTGGAATATCAAGAATTTTTTTTCCTAAACTGGAGTAGAAAAGATGAAACTTATACGTATGCCTTTTGACATACAGCACTTTCTAAATTAAATGTTCAATTCATAAGCACGAGGTTATGGTTTTGACACAATAGGGAATGATGTCAAATTCCATCAAGGTTTCTCCATACAAATCATTGCTCCCATATTACAAGATAATGGGCGGAATAAAAAATAAATTTTGATATTCGAATACTTGGAAATATTAAGTTTAATACATTTACAGTCAAGCCTGGTTAATCCCGAGCCTTGTTCACTTGAGAAATATGTACGGATAACTGACTTGTATCTTTGAAATTGGTAGATGTAAACAATGTAACACCCCCCCCCCCCCCAATAAAAAAAATATCTCGAAGGTGAAGCGTCCAGATATCTGAAGCTCGAAATTTGAGGCAAATATTTTTTTCATAGAAATTCGACTTGTGAATGGCAAATCTTCAAGAGAAGGAAGAGTGGAAGTCTTTAAAGATGGTGTCTGGGGTACAGTGTGTGACGATGGTTGGGGTTTCAACGATGCCAATGTGGTCTGTAAACAGCTATTCGGATTAGATGGGTAAATGTTCATTCTTATTTTAAAATTATATATCAATGTTTATGCCAAATATTTCATTATTTTTCATTTTGGTTGTCAAATACGTAACATAACATTTGAGGACAGATCGCTATTACAAATGAAAAAAAATATAAATAAAATTGAAAATAGAAATATTTTCCCCGTTTTTAATTAGCGAGGGATATTCAATTAATAATGTCCTAAGCTCTATGACATACAATATATAAATCATATGACATTAAGCTTGACTTTCTCTCATGATTGAATCTTTAATGAACTGAATACAGTTTATTTGACCATTTTTCATCACTTAATTTCATTGTGAGAAGTTGGAAAACAAGGGCTATTCGAGACACTGCATTAAAAATGAATGGTAAAAAATCAGTAAACAAGAGCGAAAGTAAACGCTTCATGAAAGCTGCTGTAAAACTCGTTTAGAATCCCAAAGAAATATTCCCTGAAATATGTGAAATTTACACCAACAAATCTCTGTTTCATAGACACATGAGCAGGTGGATTTAATTGAACATAAATGATATACTGGGCATCAAAAATGGGTACCGTCCTTGGCGACATATACTTACAACTGACAACGTAATGTTTGCGTAAATTCAACAAAAAATCACCGATGATGTTTGGATGAATAAAAGACACAATAGCAAAATTGATAAGAATCATTTTTTTGGTAGTTTACAATGTTTTAAAGAAGCATTTGACAGTAAAAAAGCTTTGTACTCAATGATCACCTTTAAAAAAAAACGAGTGAAAAAAACAGCGTTTTAGAATATCTAAACATTTTTTAAAATCAAAAATTGAAGTTATTCACGTTTTTCTGAACTTCTAAACGATAGAGAAAGTTGATTTCATTGCTTTAAACCCTCAAAACAAATTAACAATAAGATGCACTTGACAAAAATAGTCAAGGTCTGAAAAAAGCAAAGAATTTCAAAAGCACAAAAATAGTTTTATATGTCATTTTTTTTTTAAATATTAGTAATCTTGTTGTTCAAATTCCTATTCGGAGAAGCGGTTTAATTTCTGGCGAATACTAGAAAGCAAAGTTTTGCAAAAAAAATAGAAAGGTTTATAAGAGGATGGAACCAGAATCTGGAATCCACTACTTTAAATTTCGTCACGACAGCGTCTTAACCCACAGGCCATGAAGAGTAAAGTTGTTTTGGGGATAAACAGAAAGTTAATGATTTGTCAAACCAACAATATTCGCCAGATTTTTCACCCTTTCACTTGTTTCATTTTCTAAACCTGAAAAAGAAACACCTTTCAGAAAGAAGAAAGTCAATGAAATCATAGGATCTGCCACATTCCAGTATACTAAGGGCAATACACAAAAATGTGTTTTTAAACAATCAGACATTCGATGAAAATGTAACGGACATGTGTTTCAATTAAAAGAGAATATTCAAGTAAAATCATTAAGGCTAAATCCTTGAAATCCGCTTTTGTTGCTTTCCAAGCGCCGAGGACATTTTATTAAACAGCCCTCGTATATACTAAGTTGTGTGAATAACTATGATAAAAGTAAATGTTTATCAATATTGCTTTATAAAGTGATATCAAATTGTATAGATTTGAATATAAGGATGGAGGTAATTGAGTATATAATCAGAACAAAAATGACTCTTGGAACACTTACAAAATTACAATTAGATACCGGTATTCAAAATCTTTTATTGAAAACAAATTTGAGAGATCAGGACCCAATGTTAAAGTTAAAGTATTAATTGAAAAGTTTGGCTTGAATTTGGAAATTATAAACAACACACTGCATTGATGTTTAGGATATATAGAAATAATTCAGCCACTCTTAACATTTTTAGCTGTACAAATTCTTATGTTTTTTCTTACATTTTTGCAAATAATTTATAATATACATGTATACATTATTTGTACATTATGTTAAAGTAAAAAGAAGTAGAATTAATCAAAGTAGACTGAAAAAGAGTACTAGTATTAAAATCATTAGTACACACTACTTCCATTCTATACTTAGTAAAAGAAATGGCAGATTATCAAACATGCATGAGTTATAATTATATTAAATTATAGTGCATTATGGCTGATTATTACAATATCACGAGAAACACATTGATTTAACAACTAATGTTAATACATATAAATATTGTAAAATATAACATTTATAAACAGAATTACGTGTAGAAATGCAAGTATACATGCAATAATCATTTCAAAACAGAATTCCGTACAGTAACGCATACTTTGGACCTGGAACTGGTCTAGTACTTATGGCTAATGTGAGATGCAATGGTACAGAGAATTCCCTACTGGATTGCGGACATACAGATGAATTAAATCTTGGCTGCAGTCATAGTGAGGATGCAGGTGTTATGTGTATGAAAGGTATCGTCAAGAAATTGTTATCGTAAATGAAATAAAGATTAAGTAGCTGAAAAGCTCAAAATACGAATGATGATTGATTTTGCAATCATAAATGTAAAATCAAAAGAGTGATTTTACGTATGCTGCTTTATGTTCTTAAGCACCTATTGAACGCATTTCCATTTATTCTTTATTTTGTCTTGAATACTATGACCAGATTGACCTTAAAAGTAGAAACAAGTATTCTCGAATCTTGTAAATGCATTTGCTCACTCCTCCATGACACCTAATCCCACCTCTGATGTTTAAGAGGTCCGTGTTTGCCCTGCTCCTATTTTAATTGGTATTTGAACTTTTGAGCTTGAAAACAGTTCGTTATCTCCACAGGCTTACCTTTTCATTAATAGTTCTATAGATTGAATAAATAACCTAATGTAATAATCTATATACTACATGTAGTATGCCGGATTAGATCATCATAAAGGTGTGTACTCATTTTAATTTCTTATGGGAATAGAATTGGTTCTATACTCGGTGAATGAGATTTGGAAAAAAAGAAATTTGTCCTTTTTCTGTAAAAATTGAACTTTAATTATTTCCTTCGAATGTTTTTTTACGGGAGTCAATTTAGGATCTACCAAAAAGTATATTTGAATTGGATTTAACAAATATTCGAAATTGAATGTTATAACAAAATTTTCCTTAACTAATTTGAAAACTTGTTATAACGAATTAAATTTGATGAAATGAGTTCTTTAAGATATAAATTATAAGGAATTAAATTCGTTTCAAAAAAATTCAACAAATCGTTCTATCGAATTTATGTACATTTTACTACAGGCTGTAATTGTTGAATTTGATAATCAAAAATTATTTTAGAATGTTTTCACTTGCATTTAATATCTTATAGCAGATTTTGGACATTGTTTATACAAAATGTAGTCTATTATAACATTTTTTCATTCAAAAATTGTTATAACGAATTTAATACGTTATAAAAAAAATCGAGAAATTGTAAATGTGATACTTACAATTTTGTGATAGGTTGTAAAAGGATTTCCGTAGTTTTCCTATTTCTTACTGCTTTCATTCGTATCATATTTGCAGCACCCCCTGTTCGACTTTCCAAACAAAAAGACTTTCAAGGAAGAGTAGAAGTTTATAAAAACAACAGATGGGGGACAATATGTGACAGGAACTGGGACTATAAGGACGCTAGCGTCATTTGTAGATCTCTAGGTTATAGCGAGTAAGTTGAAATACCTTAAAATTTAATTTTTGTCTAAATGTAATGGAGAACCCCTCTCATCTTGCAATGAAAGATAACTGATAACCTTTATCAAAGGAAAAAAATATTAAATATCAATTAATTTTTTTTCTGATCAAATTAGCACTAATTTTGCTTTTCTAACCTTTCACCTATTGAAAAATTGATATAGAAAACAAAAGGAATGAAATGCACATATCTCTTTCTCTCACTTTCAAAAAAAATCTGAAAGAGGGAGAAAAATAATACAAGGAGGAATTAACATGCTTCTTTATTGATTATAATAGCGAAAATTAAAAGATTTAAAAATGATACTAATAATAATCTAGCATACAAGAAGCATCTGATGCTCTACATTTCACAGAGGTAGGTAATTTGGAGATATTTACCAAAGAAGTCAACAGCTGTCCAAGACCTTACATTAATTGATGTGATATTAATTGTAATTGTAATTGATATTCAAATGAAATGTAGTTCAACCCTTAATTACGAAAAAAATTAACAAAAATGTTAACAGATAATAAGAACTTCTCTTTTATCCTCTAAATCATAATTGCCAACATTCTCCCCATACAGTCCATTTGTAAATGACCACAACTTACTTTTTAAAAAAATAACTCAAATTTCTTCCAAAACTCAGTATTATAATTTAAGTATTTTTGCCATTAAATGTGGTAGTTGAAGTGAATAGTTTAAGCTCACCTCCGCTAAAAGCTTAAGTCAGCTTTTCTGATCACAGAATGTCCGTCGCGCATTCGTATAGCTGTCCGTCCGTCTGTAAACTTTTTACATTTTCAACTTCTTCTCAAGAACTACTTGGACAATTTTAACCAAACTTGATACCAAACATTTTTGGGTAAAGGGAAATTTAAATTATTAAAAAACAAGGGCCTAGTCCTTTTTCAGGGGGGGGTATAAAAAAGAAAATACGAAAGAGGGTTAGTTCATTAAAAAATCTTCCTCTCAAAAAATACTGGATCAGAAAAGCTGAAACTTATGTAAAACCATTCTTGGGTAGGGCAGATTCTAAATTATTCAAATCATAACCCCCGGGGGTAGGGCGGGGCCACAAAAGGAAATCTAAGTTTCACATAGAAATATTTAGGAAAAAGTTCAAAAATCTTCTCAAGTACTACTGGATCAGAAAAGCTGAAACTTATGTGGAATCATCCTTGGGTAGTGTAGATTCTAAATTGTTCGAATCATGGCACCCGGGGGTAAGGCGAGACCACATTAGGGAATCCAAGATTTACATAGAAATATATATAGAAAAACTTTTAAAATCTTCTTTTCAAGATCCACTGGACCAGAAAAGCTGAAACGTCTGTGGAATCATCGTGGGGTAGTGTAAAATTTAAATTGTTTAAATCATGACCCCTGGGGGTAGGGCGGGACCGCAATTGGGAATCCAAGTTAAATATAGAAATATATAGGAAAAAATCTTCTCAAGAATCACTTGGCCAGGAAAGCTGAAACCTATTTGGAAGCATTTTTGGGTAGTGTGGATTCTAAATTATTTTAATCATGATCCTTACAGATTGGGCAAGCTCAAAATATGTTTTACAAAGAGGGAAATCTTGTAAATAATCGAATGGCCAAAGTTACTCAGCTGAGCAATATGGCCCATGGGCCTCTCGTTAGAAATTCTTATAAAAATATTAAATATCTTTTATTTCATTTACCATTGCATTTTCTTAAAAATGCAAACAAAATGCCATCCTTAGATTCATGTGCTAGGTATTTTACGAGCATTTGATAATCATACGAACTTTGAAAGATATATATTCTTCAAACAGTTTGGAGTTATTTTTCATACCTACTAGTTATCAAATTATCATTAAATAATATCAAGACACATTCCAATTGGTGAAAATTCAATATCTTAATTAATTTCTTAAAATATCATTATTAATGTATTGAAGAATGCCCAAACTGGAAACTGCTTATAACTATCATGGTATATTGATGCTCATTGTAGTAAACTGTTGTTTTCTAGAATAAATATTTGGCAGAATACATTCAAAATGTAACTTTAAAAACAAATACATAAACGTAACTATATCTATGTAATTGTACAATTTTTTGCAAATGATTTTTGTAAATGGAAAAATAATACCGTATTACTAATCATTTATATTTTACAAACTTTAAAGTTTATCAATAATGATAATCAATCAATGCAATCTTCCTCATGAAATATTTTTATTAGACAAGGACTAGTTGTTTCCAAAGCCGTATTTGGACGAGGAACAGGCAGAATTCATTTAAATGACGTTCAATGTAGTGGAAAGGAAACTGGACTTTCTAACTGTACATACTCAGAAACAAATAGTTGCAGTCATTCTGAAGATGCTGCTGCTATATGTATTCTACCAAGTCGTGAGTAAATTCTTTTTATATATTAAGAGCATTGAAAAGACTTTTAAAAAACGTATCAGATGTGACGATTTTTAAAGATTTTTTTTTCTTTCAAATCATACAATAGAATCCATCCGATTGCGCAACGGAAAGTCTGCAAACGAAGGCTTTATAGAGGTATCGGTCAATGGTGTTTGGGGAGGTGTGTGTGATACAGACTGGGATGATCAAAATGCTAAAGTTGCTTGTCGATCTCTAGGATACTCTGGGTAAATATCTATTAAATAAGTCAAACAGAGCCAAGATCACTGTTATAAGCTCAGTAGATAAGACTTGATTGATGATATTTTTGATCAGTTTACACATGTTTTTATTTGATTGTCAGAGGCGCATAAAAAAGTTACACATCTGTATAAAGGATCAATTTATTAAAAGAGATAATGATATTTTTAAGGTTGTTTCGGAAATATTCAAATGAAAACAGTTCAACGTGAACTAAAAAAGAACTAAAAGAGCATATTGGATAATAAATAATTTTTTTTCGACAAAAGAAGAACAATGAAATAGTTGTTGTTTCAATGTTTTCAAAACTTGTGTTTCATGTTATGAATTTGAAGCGTTATAAACATGCACTTTTAGAGGTGTGGCTATCACTTCATCCGTGTTTGGAAAGGGAAATACGAAAATATGGTTGGACGGCATTAATTGTAATGGACATGAAAATTCCTTGTTAGAGTGCACTCAATTAGTAGTAGGATCCAGCAACTGTAGTGATAGTAGAAATGCTGCAGTCGTCTGTTATAACACAGGAAAGGGTAGGTGACGATGCATATTTTAATCAATACATTTTTTGGTCACCTGAGTAAACTCAGGTTACCTATTGCTAACTGTTTTCGTCCGTCGTCGTGCGTTGTGAGTTAACATTTGAACATTTTCAGCTTCTTCTCTGCAACCACTGATCCAATTTCAACCAAATTTGACATAAAGCATCTATGAGAATGGGGAACAAAAATTGTGAATTTCATGATCCCCGACCCCTCCCCCGGGGCCTGAGGGGTGGGGCCAAACCACTTAAATTAATGCAACCTTTAAAAATTTTCTTCTGTACTCCTGGACATCAAGCAGTCAAACTGTTTGCATGATTGTAATAAGCATTGAGTCCTCTACCAAAATTGTGAAATTCATGGCCCTGGGGTCAGGGACTCTAGTGCTAGGGCGGGGCTAAATGTGTATATAGTGAAAATGCATTATTTCTTTGAAAATCTTCTTCTCTGCTCCTGGGTATTAAATAAACTAACTAAGTACATAGTTATGATGAGCAAGAGTGCCTCTATCAAAATTGTGAATTTTATGGCCCCATGCGCAGCACTGTTAAGGCCTTCTATAAAGAAATCAATGGAATATAGATGTGCAAAAAACGGGACTTTTTAAAAACTTAATTTATTTTTATAAGGCCGTTTTATTGATACATAACTTCAGTACTAATTAAAATAACATATTATACCCGACTCTGTACTAAACTAAGTTTGGTCCCATCAATGGACAGTCACGTGATAAATGCATAGTATGTGTACTAAATGGAGGTCATAAACAAATTTCAGTATCGCAAGGGCTTACTCTACTTCAAATTAAAAATCTCAGTTACCATTTGTTTCTGCATACTTCTTTATATAGAATTCGCATTTTATTGATAAAAATTTTAAGTAAATATGCCCATGTCGAAATATGTATGACCTTCACCAAGTATTTTATGTCCGTATTAAGTCACGCTCTCGATTTAAAAAAAGCAGCAGCACCTTTCATGTTAAGGAAACCTGATCTTTTACTTATAATAAAAAAAACCGTTAACATCTATTAAGTGTATGCCCATGCGAAAAGGCGATTTAATAAGCCACCTCGATGGTAAACATGTCAAACCTGTACACATAAACACGGCAAAATTAGTTACATACAGTCTATCGCTAATCATAGAATAATCGCACTAAACAAAGGTTTTACATTGATATTAATAGCCTATCTAAAATCTGTAAATGATTTATTGTTTATTGATAAAATGCATTTTACATTGTAGAAAACAGACTTGATCTGCTTTTCACAGTACATAAAATACGTCATTTTTACCAAAATGACGTCATGCCGACAAGTTTGCTGCGATTAGTGATTTGTTTATAAACTGTTGTCTGGGATTTAACTAGCAATTATTTTTGATACATTGATAAGTTTTGATGTCGTTTATTATGCAAATACAGTTTAAAATTGCAAATTATTTGATTTTCAAGTATTATGAGGAATACAAATTGTACCTATTTTTGTTTGACGTCACAGCAAACATTTCCCGTTTAAATTAGGCCCCGCCCCCTTATTCAAGCCTTAACAATGCAGCGTGGTTAGGGATTCTGGTGTTAGGGTGGGACTCTATTGATTATATAGTGAAAATACATGAAGTCTGAGAAAATCTTAAAAATCGATGTATTGAATAAACTAACTAAGAACATACATGTAGTTATGATGAGCAAGAATGTTTGTTCCAATATTTTGTATTTTGTGGCCCCAGGGTCAGGGGTTCCGGTGTTAGGTGGGGC